CATATATATTCTTTGAGGCTATGGAAAATGTCTAATCATACATGGAATAGCATTCGATTTATTTTTATAGAGAGGAATAATATGTGGAAATCTTCACAAAAATTTTCTTCTATTTTTAAAAAGTGCTTTTATTGTCCAAAACATAATTATAGCTGGTGGTAGTACAAAACAAAGGATCAGATGTGCTTGTCCTTTAATTGGGGGGAAAACAATGTTGGCTAGCCAATTAACGTTCAATCCTTTTTAATGATGGAAACCAATTGTATGCTGGCCATTCATCATATATTGTTATTTGGCTTGCACTAGAGTGCCACTGGTGACACCATTGTTACTTCAAAAGCGTCTGCAGTGGCTGCAGCTCGTCGAGCTGGAAGAAATGTGGAATCAGCACATGGTCAAGCTAAAGAGGTACAGAACCTCCTGTTAGCTGGCATTGAGGTTCCAGAACCGGTCTTCTTTTGTACAATAGAGCCACCTTCCATGGCCAAACAACCAGGTACAATTCAGTTTCTGAAATAGGAGAGTTGTGCTTGTAATCTATGCATAGCGATAAAGCAATGGGATTATTTGTTGTTTATTAATAGGCACAAAAATATATTACAGATGACTATTATTCTCTAGATCAGGAGTGTCAAACTCACGGCCCGTGGACCGAATGCGTCACAAGCTGGCCCCACCCCCACCCAGTTTAGTGAAGGGGGAAAAGTCCTGATATGTCACGTGACGACGCTGTGACGACGCAAGTTTTACACCCTTGCTCTAGACCATGTCTCCAGTTGTGAGATGATTTGAGAGGGCATGCAATCCTGTTATGGTTCTCTAGCTTAGCTATCTGCTAAGCTAGAGAACCATAACAGGATTGCATGCCCTCTCAAATCATTAATTCAGATTTTAGGATAAATATCCAAAGGTAACTACTTGCATTGCACACCTGAGGGGATCGAAATCAGCCACTGTCTCTGCTGGTCAAAAAAACTTTTCGGAACTAGGAGATTTTGAAGATCAGGAGCGTGAGATTATTTTGTACTGATTTTGTACCGATGAAGAAGAAAAGGGGGCAAGGAGGAAGAAAAATCCTAGACACAGTTTTGTAAGTGATGATTGACAGAACAGCTTTATGGTTTTTAAAAAGAAAAGAGAGGGAAACAATGGAAGAGATAAGCCTATTGTAACTGTTTCTCCCTGGCCTGCTTTTCAGTCTCTTAAATTTTGAAACATTATCTTCTCTTCCATGTAGGTTATAGTCTGTAGTTTGGCAATCAGAATATTTTAAAAGAATAGAATTAAGATGATTAGTTATTGCTTTGGCTAGGAAACCCCAGTCTAGCATGCTGCTACATTAATTTTGGAAGAGTTGAATAACTTATGGGTAATATCACATCTTTTCTTCAGAGCTGTGTTTTCGTAACTGCAATTATTCTCCCCCGAGGGCACAAGAGTCAGTTTCACTACAATAGAACTGCATGCCAGGATTCCTCACCAGTGACCCTTGCTGAGGCCTTGGGAAACTGTAGTACAGAAGAAGGGAAGAGGACCATGGTTATGTTCTCTGTACCTATTCTAATCAATTATTTGCTCCAGATCTAGATCATGCATTGATTTGTCTGCAGCGTGAGGATCCAAGTCTGAAAGTTAAGATCGATGCCAATACGGGGCAGGTAAGGTTTACAATGCTTAAACTTATTGCTGTACTCTAAGACAGTGAAGGATGAGCCCTATGTAGGCCCCCTCTCCTTTTTTATGGTACTCCTACCTCTCAGATGACACTGCTCAAATCAACGGAATTACTTTTGGGAAGGTTTTCTGAAATACAAAGCATCTTTTTATTGTAAACTGCCCATAATCACTTAAGTGAGATGGGCAATGTGGAAATATGAATGATCACATGAACCAATGAGATCACTTTGTGCTGTTTTTCTGTTAACTATTTTATACCCCACCCGCCACCATCCCAAAATAGGACCTAGAGCTCCTAGTGTCATTGCCATGTATCATTTGCATTTCCTGCAGCCTTTGGAAGGAGCAAAAGTCTCGTCTCTAGCTGCAGAGTTTGCCCGCCCATTCTAACGTTTATAATTCATTGTTCGTGTTTATACTAGCATCCATATTGGCATATGCAACTGAATTGGAAGAAGGAGGTTCCCAGCTTGCCTTCTCTTTTCAGCTGCAATTATTCCCAGCAAATCTGCTATGAAGCACGGATCTTTGAAAAATGGATAGAGACCATTTAGCTGCGGGATGTCAAACTCAGTTTCATTGAGGACAGCCTTAGGGTTGTGTTTGACCTCAGGGGGCTGGGGTGGGTGTGGTCAACTTGACGTTACTCGTGTTGGTGGCGCCTGGGGTGGCCCAAGAGCTCTGCCAGTGAAAACAGGCTCCTGATCTCCACTTTTGGCTGTGACGGCCTTCTGCAACCCTCTGCCACCAAAAACGGAGCTCAGGAGGGCTGCGGGCAGGCCTCCCCAGCTCTGTTTTCACTAGAAGAGGCACTGCGGTCTAGTTCTTCGCTGTTTCCAGGGCAGCCCCATGGGCCAGATCTAAGCACCCCGCGGGCCGGATCCGGGCCTTAAGTTTGATACCCCTGCTTTACCTCAAAATGCATTTTGCTGCCTGTATTGCACTCCTCTCTCGTCTGCCTGGCTTTAAAATCACTTTGAAAAATGAACAGTATGCACCATGCTTTGATGATACTACTTTTATGAATATTTTTGCTAGACAATTCTTTGTGGCATGGGAGAACTACACATTGACATCATTCATGACCGAATCAAACGCGAACACAAACTGGAGACTTACCTTGGACCTCTTCAAGTTGCTTATCGAGAAACAATCCAAAACTCGGTTGAAGCTGCAGGTACATTAAATGTCATAGACCTGCAAATGAAGGACTTAGTGGCTAGTAAATACTGTGCTAATTTTATGACTTGAACTTTGTGCTTGATATGTTACTTGATTTTGTTACAGATACACTGGACAGGACAATAGGAGAAAAGCGGCATCAAGTGACGGTTGAGTTGGGAGTTAAGCCATGGGAGGGAGAGATGCCAGCAACAGCACCAGTCATTGAATATGTTGAAAGTATCAATGACTTACTTCACCCTGATATTCGTGAAGCTATAGAAAATGGAATATCAACCTCATACCTTCAAGGTAAAGCGTTATTTCAGTAAATGTTTTGAATTGTTTGAAGAAATAGAGACTTCGTTGTTAAGTGTGCCTACAAAAGAGCAAGGCTGTCAGGCAGAAATTAGCATCTGTCCTCCTTTCTCTTTTTTAACTGAAGATGCAAATGAATGAAACTGCTAGAAAGAATAGTTGCAGCTTTTCTCTGTTTTTATTCGTAGTGACTCGGCTGGAGATATTTAATCTGCAGTCTGCAAAATATCTTTGAAAAGAAACAGGACGATGCCATTTGAACAGATTGAATTGTCATCTGCATGGTTGATTTCAATGTAGATATTTAATGTGTTATTGATACTTCATCTTGTAGGACCACTTATGGGCTATCCAGTTCAAGATGTGGCAATCACTGTCCGGGCAGTAGCTACAAATGCTGATACATCACTAACTATGGTTTCTGCATGTGCTTCTCGTTGCCTGCAAAAGGTACGAATCAAATAATCTTATCCAGGCCAGGTAGTACATTTTTTGACCTTCTGTAGTTCTCTTTGAATTGGCATCATAACAAAGTTGTTTACGATATTTATTTTCCTACATTCAGAAATGGTGAGACTGGGATCATGATGAAGATGCATATTTTCTGTTTTAAGTTGCTGTTTTAAATTAAAATATTTTGTAAGCTGCATTGGGAATGCTTATGTTTTGGAAAATTGGCATTTCATTAATCATGTTTTTACTTCTGCTGTTGTTCATAATTTGTTTATATGAAATTTTCTGATTTTTGAATTCATACGGAATAAGTATAGACTTCATTTCAGCCTGATTTTCCTGATGCAAATTAATACTGTATTAAGCAGATTGATATTTGGATTGAAGATTTTTCTTGTAATTTTGTTTCTTAGGCTTTAAAGAATGCTAATAAACAACTCCTGGAGCCTGTCATGAAGTTGGAAGTGACCGTGCCTGGAAACTATGTTGGTGTAGTACTTGCTGACCTTGCACAGAGGAGAGGCAACATAAATGACATTCAAGGTCGCCTAGATAACCAGGTTGTGATTGCAGCTGTCCCCCTCGCAGAAATGATGGTATGTGCTGTAATTGGCAGGAAACTAAAGTTGCATGTTCTGGATACTGTGAATATTGTGGAGTACTTTAAAACAAACCTGAAAAATTGAGTACAACTTATGGCCACAATTAAGCCCAAACTTTATGTTGTTAAGCAAGACATTTGTTAAGTGAGTTTTGCCCCATTTTATGACTTTTCTTGCCACATTTGTTAAGTGAATCACTGCAGTTCAATTAGTAACAGGGTTGTTAAGTGAATCTGGTTTCCCCATTGACTTTGCTTGTCAGAAGGTCACAAGACGATCACATGACTCCGGGACACTGCAACCGTCATAAAGTCGAGTCAGTTATCAAGCATCTGAATGTAAATTGTGACCATGGGGATGCTACAACGATCATAAGTGTGAAAAACGGTCATAAGTCACTTTTTTTCAGTGATGTAACTTTGAACTGTCACTCCATGAATTGTTGTAAGTGGAGGACTACCTGTATAGATGGCAACGTGTGTTGGTGCCTGGAGGCTGTGGTGGTTTGGATGGGGGACGCTTCAGCTCAACCATGGCAAGACTGAGTGGTTTTGGGTTAGGGGCTACCTTTAGTTCTGGATGGGCTGGTGCTGCCCCAGACTGACCTGATGTGCCATCTGGGGGTCTTTCTAGACTCATGACTGTTGTTGGATGAGCAGGTGGTGATCATGGGTCTTAGCAGAATTTTGGGTTGTGTGCCAGTTGCATCCATTCCTAGACCCGAAGGCCCTATGCTCAATTACTCATACCCTGACCACCTCCTGCATGAATTACTATAAGACGTTGTGTCTGGGACTGCTCTTGAAGACCATCCAGAAACTTCAGCTGGTGCAAAATGTGATGGTGTAGGGAGTTATTTGCTGTTAGATTATGATATATTACACCTCTGCTCCGTGAGTTGCATTGGTTACCAGTTTGCCTCTGGGTTCAGTTTAAAGTGCTGGTGATGACTCATAAAGCCCTACATAGCCTGGAGTCAGATTATTTGAGGGACTGCCTTTCCCAATCCCATTTACCTGTCCCACATGTTTTTAGTGTTTTAAACAATTTTTGCTGTTGGTTTTGGTTATTTTGCTGGATTCCTTTAATTTTTTTAAACTTTGTATGCTGCTCAGAGACACATGAAACAAGTGGGCTATATAGATAGCATTTTGCATTCAAAGAATACGTGCTGTTGTGCAATTCATCTGTGAGCACAGAGGGGACTCTGCAGACCCAGTCCAGAAGTGCAGAATCTAGCACAATTGGAAGTTTATTGTTACAATATCTGTCAGTATTGAACTGTGATGCCATTCACTGTTTTTGGCAGTGCCTCTGTCTTCAAAGCTGGTGTAGGCTTTATAGCACAGGGCTGGCCAGCAGATTCTGGCAGCAAGCACAGCTTCGAGTTTCCTTGGCTGGATGTCACAGTGGCAGAGACACAGTGGCATTCCCTTCACAGTATCTTTGTAGTGCTTGTGTAGATGACCTCAAGGTCTCTTTCCTGTTTCCATTTCACTCTAGCGCAACTGGTGAAGCGTGGGGTGGTCATGCATTCTGATACATAAAATTACCAAGTAAATAAATAAGCAAATTTTTACTTTGAAATAGTAATTGCTAGGTCTCAAAGTCAGAACAAAGCATTCTCTTTTGCTCCAGAATTGGCTGTTTTGAGCATCATCCTTTCAGTCATAAGTAATCATGACAAGTCAGGGCATTTCAGCAAAGCCAGCTTTTTGTTAAACTCCTTTATAGAAATGAAACTTTATCTTATTCCATGTATTTGTTATCGGAACATTTTGAGGAAACTGGTGGCCGGAGGTATCACCCCGCAGGTCACACCCACCCAGCTCCTTGAAGAAGAAAAATACGTCATGTGATGGCTATGTGATGGCACGGATTTGACACCCGTGCGCTAGAGCATTATACTGTCTGGCCCATCTTGTATGCTATCGTATCAGATAGTTCACTCAGCGCTGTTTTTTCTCTACTGAGCTAACAATATTGAGTATGATAAAAAATCTGCAAGAAAATATAGTTAAATCACACTTCCTTAGTATATAGAGGAGCCTCATTTCATATCAATTTCACTTGCAGATACATTTGGTGAAAATTTTTGCACAGTTAAATAAATTTAAATTTGAAACTGCAGACGAAATACACTGTATTGTATTGAATTGCAGCTTTTCTAGCAATAAAAAAGAATTTCAATTAAATGTAAAATTTATTTTTTCTGTCTTGAAATAGCTTCATCTTATAATCCCTTGTGATACATATTTCCTCCCCGCAGGGCTACTCAACAGTTTTACGTTCTTTGACATCTGGGACTGCTACATTTACACTGGAATTGGCAAACTACCATCCAATGAGCCTTTATGAGCAAAATGCTTTGCTTAATAAGAAGACCGGTTTGGCATGATGTCATGGAGGACTGTGGACTTGTTTCAATCCTTTGTTAGGAAGCAGTTTATATTGAAATTACAGTGATCAAAAGTAAATCTTGCTGCTGCAGCCTGTTTATATGTCAATAGAAACTATAAGATATAAATTATAATTCATCTTCAGAAAAACTGACGTTTTGTGACTGTTGTAAGTTATTCCACTGAAGAGCTACAACTGCCTTTTCCCGAACTGTTATATTGTTATATACAAAATACGCACTAGTATATTTCTGGTCCGAGTGGTTATGTTTTGTAGAGTTCTGCTGTGGTACATATCTCTTTTCCTATATAGTTCACACTGATATATATATGTCTCACATTAAAATGAAGAATAGGCACTTTTGCTACGATCCCTGTTCAGAGGAAGTCATGGTTGCAATGTCCAACAAACAAAGGCTGTGCTGCAATTCCACGCCTATGGAGAAGAGGAAAGGGAATTAATCTGTGGCCAATAAATACTGAAAAAGGAGAGTTTATGTTGTACAATTTAAAGACTAAGAAAGCAATTAGAGATGATTCCAAGACTAAAATCTGTTTTTTAACATTAACAAAAATCCTTATCGTTTACATAACTTCAATTTCATGGCAGGGTCTAATACTGTTCTTGGTTTTTTTTAAAAGGCAAATAGCTGAGGAAGGATAATCAGGTTTTTAAATAATTTTTTCCAGCATTAAGAAAAAACACAAGATCAGAAAAATATAATTCAGTTTGTATCCTGTCTTTCTGCATGCCTCAATTAATACAAAATATAGCTGTAAAATACAAAAAAGTTAGAAGCTTGGTGAAAGATAGCTCACTCATGCCATTTTGCTATATAGTGGGAGAATATTAATCTTACATGTGTCAGTTTTAAAGTTGTGAGGTTTATATGCACCAAATTATACTCTTGTACTTCCACAAATGCAAAGAATGCAAATATGCATTTGAAGCTCCACAGATTGTTTTCTCAGGAAAATGTAAATATCAAGTTACACCTATCCATTTGAACATGGCATTTAAAAGATATTTAAGCCAAAGGCATATGTGTGGGGCCATAGCAAACCTTGAATTTGGCTGAATTAAATTTAACACAATGTAACATAATTAAATGTATTTCATGTTCATTTATACATTTCCATATCCTTGCAAATATTGTGTAGCCTTCAAGCTACCTACATTAAGCTAAAATCTTATCTTTTTGCTCCGTGAAGAAGAGAGACTGCTACGATATACTCATTTAGTAACAGAAGAGATACAAGAAATTTATAAGGAACTTTGCTAGCACTTTACTTCTTTATTAAACTATAATATAATATTAGAATATATGTATCTTACCTAAGCATGTGACAACGATGTTGAGTAAGTCTTTTAGAAGCATCTGAAATATCGGTTACATTTTCACTGCTCCAAAGTCTCTCACCAACAGCACTTGCCCGTGGCCTGGAATTACAAGGTCAATGCAATTTTATTTAAATCTTTTTAAAAAATCAAATGGTTAGTATTTATTTAAAAATAATAGGACATTACCTGCAGCATTTAAAAGCTTTTACCCACTTGCTTTCAAAATGGAATATGTACTTTTTGCTTAGCCAATTCTGAATTACAAGATTTCAGATATAGCATTACAAAAAAATGTCACTCTGTCTTAGGGGTTCAATGAAAGTTGAATGAAAGTTCAATATCACTTTCAAAATATAGTCAGACTACCACAGATATTTCTGTGTGCAAATGGAAATGTGCCTTAAACATACCTAAGTTCTTTTATACAAGTCAAATTTAAATTAGGAAAGTGTGCATTGGTAGAATAAACATTTTAGATTCTATATATATTTTGTTATGAGTGAGCAAACAGAGAGAACCTTACAATTAAATCAAATAGGAGTTAAATGTTCCCCAGTGATAGAATAGTACCATGAAGCTGACTGAACATTCTGGATGATGCTGGAAAATTCAGCATGTAATCCATAAACTGGCTATAACTATGCTTTTTTGTATAAAAGAAGTCAGACAGATTTGCCTCTTCTGTATTGTCTCCCATCTGTAATGGCAATTTCTTATATTGAACTCATTAGTGCTTCCTGTAAGGGTGAATACAGGTAATCCTCATGATCAAAATTTATGTTACTAAGCAAGACAGCGGTTACAACATTTTTTGTCTGCAGTGTGAGGATCCAAGTCTGGAAATTAAGATACATTCCAAAACAGGGAAAGTAAGGTTTATGTCCTTTTTTGCCAGAGCTAAGAGAATCACGGCAAGTTGTTAAAAGAGTCACACAGTCATTAAGTGAGTTGGCTTTCCCTATTGACTTTTCCTGTTAGAAGCTTGCAAATGTGATCACGTGTGCAATGATGTTGAGAAAGTCTTTTATGAGCATCTGAAACTTTGGTTACATTTTCACTGCTCCAAACTTCAACAGCACTCGCCCATGGCCTAGAATTACAAAGGGACGCTGTGACTATCATAAATACGGTCTATGCTGGTTGCCAAGCAGCCAAAATTTGAACACGTCTGTGGGGATGCTACTAGAGTAGTAAGTGTGAGGACAGCTTTAAGCTACTTTTGTAACTGAATGATTGAAAAACAAATGATTGTAAGTAGAGAACCCACCTATTTATAAGGAAGAGGAGAAAAAACAAATGGAAAATAGAGATCTGCAATCCTCTGATGCAAGGGAAGTATATACACACATTTTAATCTCCATTATTAAAGCAGAAAGAAAAAGATTGGATGTTTAAATTTATGAAAGAAGAAACAAGCTAGGCAAGTGAGGTATACCAGAGTCTTGGTGTAAGATTAGTTGCATCCACATATTCTCCCCAAAGACAAGCCTCTCCACCAAGCACCAGCTCCTTCTGTGATTTGCTTCCTGTGTTTAAAGGGATAAAAAAAAGCATTTGTTCGTTTCCTATTTGTCATTGAAAAGAGTGTTTAAAATTCAACCTTAACATAAGTTAAACCAGTGTTGATAATAACTTTAAATGAAGTATATGCTTACACAAACCATGGAATGGGATGCGTTCATATACAGGTAGACCTCGACTTATAACATTTCATTTAGTGACTGTTCAAAGTTGCCTCACTGAAAAAGTGACCTATGACCATTTTTCACATTTACGACCATTGCAGAACCTCCATGTTGGCATAATCAAAATTCAGATGCTTGGCAACTGACTCACATTTATGATGGTTGCAGTATCTGGGATCACGTGATCCCCTTTTGCGACCTTCTGACAAGCAAAGTCAGTGTCATGCCCTTGTTGGAGTCTAATTCTGAGGGGGAGATTGAGCAGCTGGCAGGGAGTGTGAGTGTGGCTCTGGTGGCTGTGGAAGAAACGGGGGAAAGGCACAGTCCGGCTGGGCATTCAGAGGAAGACCCAGGGCCACCCCCTCTTCATCCTAGGGCACGCAGGGAGGAATGGAGAAGGGAGCAATGTGGCTTACGGGAGAGAAAAAGGCCTGATCCCTTTCATTAGTTGCAGCTGGGAGAACAGGATATAAGAAGGGCGTTTGCACACAGCACCTTGCTGGAAGCAAAGTGTGCATTATCTGTCGAGGCTTATTTGGGTTTTGGCGCCTTCTCAAATGTGTGTGCTTTGTCATCTTTTGGAAGTCTGCAATTTATTATCCTGGCCTGTCATGTTAATTACTTCAGCGTGATTTGTGTTGTTGTTTTTATTTCTACTTTATCTGTACTTTGAGTTCGGACTGCATTTCCTCCCTTTGTAGACTGTTTTTGGAAGAGTTTGATCTCCGGTCAAGGATAACTGGACATTGGGAGCCAAGTTGGAGGTATTAAAGGGATTTTACCTATTTTTGTGACTTTGTTATTTTTGTGTCACGCCCTGGGTCATCACAGTCAATAGGGAAGCTAGATTCATTTAACAAATATGTTATTAACAACTGCAATGATTCACTTAATTGGGGCAAGAAAAGTCGTAAAATGGGCAAAATTCACTTAACTCTCTCAGTTAGCACTAAAAATTTGGGCTCAGTTATGGTTGTAAGTCAAGAACTATCTATACTCTTATTTATTTTTTTTAGGCTACAAAAAATATAACTTTCACACAAACTACAAAAAAGGAAACTTTCCTGTAATCTAGCATAAGAAAATACATGAATCTGAGCACAACTAGTTTATTTAAATGGGAATATGGCCCTCACACACTGGAATCCAAAGGTATTAAAAAATGCCCAACTCCCACAGAAAAAAGGCAAATGCAAGCTATTGACAAACCAGTAAAGTCCAGAGGTTCAACACTGTAGTAGCTCTTCCAATCCTCGCCATAACTGATGAGGTCTAGGTACCAAGGTGCAGCAAGGATTGCCTGATAGCCTTGTTTTGTTACTCTTGCTAGTTCAAATTGATACAAATATTTCTTCCACACTTCAACTATTGTGTCTGGCTGGAGCTGAAAAGACAAAAGTATAGGTTTTTTTTTTTTTTTGGAACAGCATGCATATGATTCATTCCAGCATGGTATGGTGTTTGAGCAGTTCTACAAATTCAGGACAACATATTGTATTTATAGCCCATCATTCCTCAGAACCCATAATAATTACCCCTTCATTTTATTTTACAGTATTTTTATCTATGAGAAGTACATCGGACTGAGAGAATGACTATCTCATAGTTGCCCAATGAGTTTGCAGAAGGAATCTTACCAATCCGAATCTGTCAGTCTACCTACTATGCTGTGATGGTTTGTCTTTCTGAACTTTTCTAAATACATGCAGAAAAAGATCACATCAAAACTGCCAAAGATAGGGTTATCTTTATGTCTCATATCACACCAATCCTACTGGCTCTATATCATTTTCTAATATTCAAAAATTCCTGTCACATGGAAAGGATGTTGAGAGACAGATTATTTTCCAGGGATGTGTTTGCAGCCTTCACCATCATGATATGCCTGATGCACAATAACATACAGAATGATTATTCAATAATTCAGGAATTGTAGTCCTAATTAATTTGGAGGGTACCGATTGAAAAAGTCTGGACCTTGGACAGAAGCAGCAACTGCCCTGGTCTTACTCATTTTTACACTTGTTAAAACCTTTCTTGATTTTGTAAACGAATAAAAGGGATATTCACTTCTACATACATTTTCTGATGTATTTCTGCAGCGGAGAATTAGTCTCAAAATTATGATGGAACATTTCACATAATTTCTCAGACCTTACCTTTGCTCCATCATCGAATACTTCCTGCCAGATTATGGATTTCTTGTTAAGAGAAGTCACTATATCCAATATTCTAGGTGCAAAACAAAACACTCATGTATTTGACACACATTCAATTGTATGTTTCCCTTTCAAACACACAATTTCAGCAAAAAACAGAATATCCAGCAGTTTACAATAACTGGATACAACAGAAGAGTACATATTGCCTGCAAAACTGCTTTTGAACTTTCCAAATATTTATGGACACTTATCTCAAGGTAATAACCAATCTTGATGGGATTTAGATTATTTAGATAAAGAAAATGAAGTAATTCTGGTATATTTGCAAATAGGCACTATTCCTTTGTGGTTGTTTGAATGTTGCTATATCCTGAGTATGAAAAAGAGACCTTTTTCTGGTTTAGGTTTTATTGAGAGGTCTTCCTGATAAAATATTATTAACTGCTAAAAAGCACTGTTTTTTGCTGCAAATTTTGAATGCAATTGACATATTATATTAAGATTTTGTGTTTTAAGAAACAGCTGGTCTACCTATTGAATTTTCTAATCAGAAGAAGCGACTGTTGAGATTGCAAAATACAGCATCTTCAGAAGAAATTATGAACTAGAATCTGCAACTACACTGGGTTAATGAATAAGGCAGATTTTACTTCAAAACTTCTGAAAGTATCCAATTATTTAATTAATTCAAATGTACTAGATATAGAACTGAGCCAAATGTTCTACACTATCTTCTTTGTCATCTGCAGACTCCAACCCCATCTTCTCCATCTCTTCCAGGATAGAAAATGGACAAGAAGCAAGGAGAATAAAAAATAAATAAATAAAGTTCCAGGCCACAGCCAATAATGTGGATCCCAGACCATACTGCTAAAATTAGGTAAGTAAACTACTGGCTTTCAGTAGCTTGTTGTTTTCTTTTGTTAAGTTACAAGCTCTCAAAAAGTCACTTATATGCACTCCAGTGACATTGTTATGACATTCATTCCAATCCCTGCAATGCTCAGCTGCAAGACACCAGTCTACCACTGCCCTTTAGGAAGTTTTGCTAGCAGCAGTATAAATACAATTTAGGGGATTAAAGCAATCAATAAAAGAAGCTGCAAATACATGATGTAATCTTTCTGAAAAAGAAACAGACTCACTTTTCAACATAATAGGATTCCAGTTTAGAATACCAGTACCCAAATCCTTCCTTTTTCATGAACTCAGTTACATCAGGATTGGAATTCCTAAGGAAAAAAGAAAAATGAAAGCAACAAATTACATTTCTTATAATATAGTATGCTACTAAAGTAGCAATGGAATAGAATGGATTTTGTGCTCTAATGTTCTTTTTAATCATACAGGAATGGGAATCTAAACAAAATAATGCTGATGTGAAGAATGCCTTCTCTGACTTGTGATATAAGTCAGCTTGGGCCAATGTCTAGGAAGAATAAAGCATCTGCAAGTCCCATTAATTTTTTGGCATGGCAATCTTAAGATCAGGATATTCAATGCATAAGCAATTGTCGTATACAATACAATAACCATGTAATTGTTTTTTATTTCTCCCTCCAAAAGATTTCAGTTTGTTTTTCAATTGAATTGTACAGCTTCTATGTTGTGATAAAGGTGGAAAATATTCTGAAATGATTTATCTTAGTCTGATTTTTTTTACATCTCAAAAACCTGGCATTTTAACTGGGGTATATAGACTTTCTATATCCACTTAAATATTTTGGTAATGTAAAATTGTACATTTTGGATTCTATTAGGAAGAAATACTTTGAAATATTCTGCATTCAGGGAAGCATTTCCATCTCATTAAAGCCTATTTCTAGGGTCATATGGCTGCGGTGGAAGTCTTCCTTCAGTGGCTGTGTAAACCTGGATATTGACAGGGCTACATTAATGAGATGCAGTTAAATGATGCGCTTATACTACTATATTTTCTACAATATCTCTTCTTAATCAAGTCTGGAGAATTGTATAATGGTCATATCTTTTTAGTTGCAGTGTTACACCATACCAACAACTGAAGTCCACTTCATCTCCTCCTAAATGGATATAGTCATCAGGAAATACATTGCCAACTTCTTCAAATAATTTCATCATAAACTCATAAGTTGCATTCAAAATGGGATTTATAGGTCCATAAGAGCCACTTGGATGTTTTCCACTGTAGCAGGGTGTGAGGATATCTTTTTCCCAGTATATAAAATAAAGACAAAAATAAAAGATGTATGCTATTTGTTATACATGAACTTGCATTTCTTACGTTCATTTTAAAAGTGTTTCCAAGAACTCAAATGCTTTTTTCTTTGTAATGGCCCAGGACATAATCCTTTCAAGTGGGATATGATGGTTAATTATCAGATTTAAATAATGGAAAATAATGACTCATAAAACCTTTGTATTCACATGATATGATTTAGCTATTTATTCAATACTTTTGTCTTGAATTCAATTTGTTTCCATTTTCTGAATCACTTAATGATAATCACTGACATTGGCGCAGAAACATGTATTATAGAAATATCTTATTAAACCTCTAGAATTAATAATCTTTTGTTGACTGGATGGTTATAATACTTTCTGGAGGATAAGGGAAAGGCAAAGTAAATCAGGGCAACAGATTTAAGTACAGGGACTTATGTCAATAAGGCTGGATGTTAAAGGTTCTTATTGGGTAAGGGAGAATGATTAGGAATATTTATTTTTAAAACCATGTTAATCTTATTTAATGGCACATGCTACAGTTTATATGTGTTCCTGCTTCAAAATGACAGGGAAGCATTACATGCTAACAATTTCAATAAATGACTCTCTGTGTTGAACTGGGTTGCCTGCCAGGACCACAGGGCAATTATCCTGACCTTGCTTAATACTGCAGTGCCAAATCCAGTCTAAACATTCTGGATGACTATGCAAACACAATGTATTAAATTTGTATGCTGCCCAAATCTCAAGTACAATAAAATCAATAAAACATAGAAAATAAATAAAAGTAGTTGAAACCCCACCTCCTCTCTTTATTAGAAGACATTTAAAATCTGAACATATCTGAATTATATGTAGTCAGCGAGACCAGAATTATGTAACAACTTAAATTTAAATAACATTTAATAATAAATGTATATTTGTATTTCACTACCAATCTTCTCTCTCTCTCTTTTGATTCCTATTGTAAGCATATAGTTATTTTTAGTTCGCCTTTCAGAATGATATACATTTTACCTTTTCTCCAAGACTGAGTATGTCCTGGGGTGTCAAATTCTGGAATAACTCTAATCCCTCGCAACCGAGCATATTCTATGACATTATGGACATCTGTGGGAGTATAAACATGGTTGGGAGTATAAGCACCCTGTGGAAATAAACAAGAGATAACATTTTTTTCCAATACTCTAGGAAAATGTCATCAAGTGAGGAGTGGTTAAATCTAGGAGAAATATAATATTACACTAGTTTTTGAATTAAATTAAGCACAAACCGTGTTTGTACCTTTTACTGACGATCAGTACTTTGAGTAATACTAAGAAGAATGGACCATCCAAGATAATTCTCTTTGAAATCCTAGGAGAAATTAATCTTGCTTCCCTATGTATTATTTTTCTAAGTGACCATGCAACTTTTGAGGCATTGGCAAATGACGGATCATCCATCAGTTTTTCATGATGGATGAAAAACGGAACATGGTTGCAGTATCTCTGAAGATCTAGCCCATGAAACTTGAAGTTGGTAATTGAAAAAAGCAGGAAAGAAGATGGCTATATGTACTCTTTATAGAGTTATTTTTATGCTTAACCTTTGTGTCAATGGGAATAAATCCCCTGCTCTACCATTGAGATAACCCATGTCAAATAAAAAAACTTACAACCAAAGGCCGGCACCAAAGCAGCACAAACAGATACATACAAAAAGAAAGAAAACAATAAATATAGGAGTAATACATACAAAAAGAAAGACAAACAATAAATATAGGAGTAATTGAGTCTTCAGGAAGCATCATATGCCAATTCACGGAACTCAGTGACATTATATAAGCCACCCAGAGGTCCTTATTACGGTAGCTAAGACGAACACTGAACACCATATAGAAATCTTTTGATCACTTTGGCATTATTACTAAAAAAAGGAGAAATTAAATGTTGGCTTAACGCCAAATAAAATTTACAGTGCAAAATCACATTATAACAAGGAACCAGGTGGTAGGTTATAGGAGTTTTGTGATACCTGTCCAATAGCAGGGCCCTAATATAACTGAAGTATGTGAGAAATAGGTCTCTGAATTTTATTTTTTAAATACTGTATTTTTTGCACTATAAGATGCTCTGGAACTTAGCTTTTGGGGAGGAAAACAAGAAAAAAAATCTGCCTCTGCCTCCTAGCAACCATCTGGTATTCATCTGGCTAGCATATTTGCAGCAAACAGCACACAGCCTGGTTAGCTTCAGCACATTATTGCAGCCCCAGCACATGGCTCCTCCATTGCGTCTACTACTGGTCAACTGAACTGAGCTGAGCTGAGCTGCCGCTGCCGCCAAGGAATACTGGAGCTTTTGTTGCTTAGCAGCTGATTGGTGGTTGGATCGTCTGGAATACTGCTGATCAGCTGTTCTAGGTAGCGGGGATCCCTGCCACCGCTGCCTATTGCCGCTGTTGCCTATTGCCATCGATCGCCGCCACTGCTACTATTTGCCTTCGCTGCCACTGTTCACCGTCTATTGCTGCCCCCAATCAGGTGTTTGGCAGCAAAGGTTCCAGCGTTCCCTGGAGGCAGCAAACAGTGGCAGTGGTGACAGTGATCTCCCTTCCCCCGCCGCAATATTCACTCTATAAGCTGCACAAACATTTCCAGCCACTATTTTTGGGAGAAAAGTGTGTCTTATAGTGCAAAAAATACGCACATGATTCCGTATGTTCTTACTTACCTGGCCATTCAATTCTGGAAAAGTGGTACTTTCATAAGGAAAGGAAGGGTCATCTACAATGTGCCAATGCAGGACGTTGAACTTGTTAAAGGCCATGGCATCCTGTGATAGGAAAGACAAGATGGCAGGGGTGGGATTCAACCAGTTCGCACCTATTCGCTAGAACCATTTGTTAACATTCTAAGCAGTTCAGAGAACTGGTTGTTAGAAGAAATTACTGGCCTAATCCTGTAAGGAAAGGCAGGAAGGAAACATTCTGGTGTTGCTTACAGAAACTGCCTCTCCGTTAACCCTTATTACATTCTTGGTAGGACTAGACTTCCTGTCTCTGGAACTTCTCTGGAGTCTTTTTCCCTTCTTTGCTGGTACTTTGCTTTTGTGGAGTGACCATTTAAAGTTACAGTGGCACTGAAAAAATTAATAATAACCATTTTTCACACTTACAACTGTTGCAGCATCCCCACAGTCATGAGAGGCCAAGCAAGGAGAAGCGTGCCTCGATGTGAGTGATGTTGAGTTGGCCATGCCCAGCCAAGCCATGCCCACCAACTAAGCCATGCCCACAGAACTGGTTGTTAAAAAATTTGAATCCCACCCCTGCAAGATAGTATTTTAGTGACACACTCTACATCCCAAAATTACTTTATATATGTGGGAATTTAAAATCTTATTTCTACCATGCTCTCTATTAGAACAATCTCATCATTATTTCTATAACTACTAAATTATTTATAGGCCTGAGAGAACTCAATGGAGGAAAGCAGTGGTGGGATTCAAATTGTTTTTACTACCGGTTCTGTGGGCATGGCTTGGTGGGCGTGGCAGGAAAAGGATACTGTAAAATCTCCAGTCAGAGGTGGTATTTGCTGGTTCTCTGAACTACTCAAAATTTCTGCTACTGGTTCTCCAGAACTGGTCAGAATCTGCTGAATACCACCTCTGGAGGAAAGCTTTACATACAAATACTATAAATGTTTACAAGATATTTAATTTTATGTAACTGATTTCAAGAAGCAGTCACAGAACCCAAATATTATGACCTAAATAAGATAGCTGCCAAAGAAGGTATTTCCACATGTTGCCAAAATGCATAGGTATATATTGACTATGTAAATGTCTTCACAGTATAAAATTTAGGCCTTATGCGTGTTCCTCAAAACTACATGAGTTCTTGTCTGTATGTTGTAGGTCCCACTGATTAGGGATTGCCATCTGGTAGAACCACCAAAAAAGGTCTTCTCAGTGGTGACTCCTTCTTAATGAAAATCATTCCCCCGAGGTACAGTAACTTAGTCCCAGAGATGGCATTCAACAGGTTCTGACCAGTTCTGGAGAACCAGTAGTGGAAATTTTGAGTAGTTCGTAGAACTGGCAATTACCACCCCTGACTGGAGATTTTACAGTATCCTTCCCCTGCCATGCCTGTAGCGTTTGAAATGGACTAAGCCGAAGTCTTCACTCCGGTCCGTGTTTCCAGTGGAACACGGACCGTTCCTATTGGCTGATGCCGTTTGACAGCCGGCTATAAAAGGAGCTGTCAAACGGCATCAGCTGTTGTCCGCCAGCTGGCTGCCTTGTTAGCGCGGCAGCCGCAGCAACCCTTTATTGTTTCAATAAAGTAACAGCTGAAGTTCGCTCTGAGTTTTGCCTCAGGTTATTCCGCCGCTTTACAACAATGCCCACTAAGCCACTCTCACAGAACAGGTAATAAAAAAAAATTGAATCCCACCACTGCTTAGCCCGCAACCTGCTGCTTTACTGTAAGGCCCTAAAAATGGTTTTGTCAACAGGACTGGGGACCAGGAATGGAAACTGACCCAATGAAATGGTTAATGGGAAGAGGTTATTTAGGCCGGCAAGTTCTCCCTGCTCAGTAAAGAAATCTAGATTAACAGATTCTTGACAGGTAGCTGTCTAGATTACACTTAAATGTATAGCAAGAGGAGCTCACCACTTTCCTCAGTAATTAGGCCTACCAATTCTTATCTTTATGAAGTTCTTCCTAATTCTAAAGAACCTGCCTTCTGTAACTAAACACATTCTGAATCTTATACTCTGAAGGAAAGATCTTCTGCTATTTCCCCATCCCTTTCCCCTTTTCTCATAGGCAGTTTCTTGTATTTTATTATTCTGTCAAATCTATTCTTACACTGAATATACCAGTATGGAGCCAACTGTTTCATGCCATGGCCTCATTTCATTGGCCTTTTTCCTTTGCCAAAATCCAATAGCTATTCACTCTTCAGTTTTCTAGGTCATCCTTTCACTGAATGAAAACCTGTCTATGAATCTTGGATTTTGCCTTCAGATCATTATGTGCAAAATGGTTTTACTGGTACATCTTGTTCATGTTTACCCAGAATGTTTAGGCTTTATTATTATAGCATTCTAAAAGGGTGACATTAGCATTTTTAACATGGAAGTTGAAGTCTCTTCTCTAACTTTAAGAAAGCAAGTTTTTCTCTTCTCAGCCAAGTTCATTTCATTTGGTCTGTGAGAACTTGCTTTTTCAGCAACTATACAATAGAAAGTGCATTCTGGAAGACCTGGGATACACATGCAAGTATTAAGAATCGAACTCGACTGGGAAAGGAAATTTATGTAACCCATAAATTTTAGGCTTGAGCAATAGAAAACATTGATTCTACATAACATTTTATAAGTAGCAAATTTATGGGTTGCATAGTCCCTGTCCCAGTCGTTAGATTCCTGAGTTTTGCCTGAATTTCAAATTTTTAAATGGATGCCATTTAAATTAAGGTCAGTAGGGAAGCCCCTCTTAAATATAATTTGTTATCCAAGTCTGTTATTATACATATAGAAAAGTGTGTTCTCTGTTATAACCAAGCTATGGAACCTGTTCCCTTTGAAGCTGTACTCAGTTTCCAATCTTTCTGCTTTCTTTAATTAATCAATATGTTTTAATCTGATTTAAATTAGAGGTAGTTCTTGACTTACAATCCCAATTGGGACCAGAATTTCCATCGCTAAGTAATACAGTTATAAAGGGAGATGTCACATGACCACACAGCGATCAAAATCCCACCTTTTCTGGTTGCCATCATAACTCTAGAGGTGGGATTTGTTAAGCAGAGGGAATCCCAGGTAAGGAGCTCAGGGGTGGGGAAGAGCCTGGGAGCCTTCTACAGGCCACATACAAATTGGGAGGGTGCTGCGGTGTGGTAAGAATGCAGAGAGGCCAGAAAAGAATATGCTGTGGCTCAGGGGATTCTTGGTGTGCCACGGCTCTAGAGTTACAACAAGTCCCTGAGTTACAGCAAAATTCAAAGCTGCAGTCATCCTGGGAAGTCTCAGCTGCCCTAGCCTGGCCCAATACACCACAGCCCTGGGAAGCCTCAGCCACCACAGCCCATCCCAGCAGCACAATGCAGCATGCCTCAGTCTCTGTGCGTCCTGCATGCCTCGCTGATCTTTGCTGGTTTTCTCCTGCTGTTGGTGAGGCACTCGCAGCCTGGCCCTATTGTAAGAGAGGAAGTTGTTGGCCATGGTTGGACTTTTTCCTGAGGCAACTTTTTTGCTTCATTATCTCGATCCTTTGGAAAAGTTGTGAGGCTTTTTGGAAGCATTGTGAGAAAAGGGCATCTGCCATTCTCTAAATAGTGCATATGTACCCACAACACCTGAGGAAGACCTCAGAAGCAGTGGTGAGATTCAATTTTTTTTACTACTGGTTCTGTGGGCGTGGCATGGTGGGCATGGTAGGTGTGGCTTGGTGGGCGTGGCAGGGAAAGGCTACTGCAAAATCTCCATTCCCTCCCCATTCCTGGGGGAAGGTTATGCAAAATCCCCATTCCCTCCCCACCCCACTAACCTGCTTTCCAGCTCTGTTCTCCTGTGCAGGGCAATAAAAGAAGACCCAGCCGATTAGCTGGGACTTGGGAGGCAGAGAATAGATGGGGCGGGGCCAGTCACAGGTGGCATTTTCCGGTTCTCCAAACTACTCAAAATTTCCACTACCTGTTCTCCAGAACTGGTCAGAACCTGCTGAATACCACCACTACTCAGAAGCTTTCTAAGAAGACCTTTGAAGCATTGCAAGAATGGGGCAGACTATTTGGAATGATGTGCCCAATTTGAAGAATTGAGGATGAGTAAACAAACCATAGGTTCCCGTGGGCTGCCAAGTGCCTAAATTTTGATCACATGATCATAGGGGTGCTATAACAGCTGTAACTTCATTTAGTGCCCTGGTAACTTTGAATAGTCACGAAACAAATGGTCATAAATGGAAGACTACAAGTACTTAAGATTTCTAAAATTATAACATGCATTGAATGCCCTCTGGGAAGGTGGGCAAGATATAAATTGAATAAGGAATAACAACGGTAAATACTGGAAATTTTAAGTAAAAACTCACCCACCACATGCGGAGATTAATACAACTAGCTTACTCATCTATAGTGATTTGTTTTAAATGCCTACTAGAATCTTCTCAACTTGGATGGCAACTACAGCTTTATATACCAAGATGACTCAGCACATAATCTGGATCACTTACCAAATTAGTTAGAATAACTTTCAGTGGCAGGAAATGTCGTGATGTATCAAGCAAGATTCCTCGATATGCAAATCTTGGAAAGTCACTTATGACAGACTCGTTAACAAAATACTGTTGAAACAAACAAAAGAGCCATATGCATGTAAAAAATGTGGCAGATAATCAAATTTGACTTTTTGTGGTAAGATACATTTATTCAGGTATTAAATTTGACTTCCCAGCATATAAAAGTTATCAAATATATTGCAATGCATTTAGCCATAGATTTGAAAAATTATGTATTTATGCAAATGAAATTACTACTATTCCTACTGCTTGGAAGGCTATATTTTATTACCTGAAAACTAAACATTAATGTATATGTTATATTCAAATATAAATACTGCTTAGTGTAAACTTCAATAAAATATTGACATACAGTTCCAAAGAGTATAAGCAAATAAATAATTTGTAATTGTGCCTACTGCTTTTTTTTGATGCTATCCCTTCAAGCTATTATCCAGAATTTTTCTGGACATCAACTCCCATCATAACTGAACTGATGTGGTCACTGCCTATGTAATGGTGAGAGTTGTCTGAACAATCAGTGAAATAAAGGACTCCCAGTTTAACCCTACTAAAATATAAGTAATAATAGACCAATAAGGAGAATATTGGAAGTTCGAGATTGAAATGATCTATTATAGATGATAGATAAGTTACTAAATAGAGGTAACAGAATTTCAGCAGAAAAATTACAGTGCATTCAGAAAGTATCCTCTTCACTTTTGTCAATTTTGTTATGCTGCAGTCTAATACTATAGTTGTTAACATTCTTTTTTTCCTTATTAATCTACACTCAATACCCCATAATGACAAAGTGAAACAAAATTTTAGACCTGAAAATGTCTGTCTTTAAAGAAATATGATATTTAATTGAAAAGAAGTGTTAAAGATGTTAAGATTTTAATGACTATTAATGATAGAACTGAATTGGAATGGAATGAGGGTTTATAATTACATATATTTATAATCTTTTTTTTTAAGAATATAGTGTGTATTATAAGAATGTACCAAGCAGAATTCGATTGGAAGTTATGTATTATGTATTATATTGAAGGTCATAACCTTAAGGTATATATTGAAGTTTAAATAAGAGTTGAATGGATGTAATTAAAAGATATAAAGGTGTCATACTCCAATTAGTAACTACAGGAGAAAATTGGTTTAATGAGAAAAGATAATATGAAATTGAAACAGAACAGACAAAAGTATAAATATAATGATTTGAATTGAGATGAGATAATCAAAATAAAATTGAGAAAATTAAAAGAGGGGAAAAACTGTATAGAAAATGAAGAATAGTATAAGATATGGAATAGAACACAAAAAGGAGCATGAAATTGAGTTTTGTGTCTGTATAAAGAAGTTCAACCTGGGACCATGCTATTTTCAAAAAAGATGTTTTACTTGTATTTTGTATGTGTGAAAACCCAAATAAAACTTTATTTTTTAAAAAAATGGCTGTCCACTAAAGGTTGCCATCTAACCGGACTGAGCTGGAGAGGATTTGCAAGGAAGAATGGCAGAAAATACCTAATCCAGGTGTGCAAAGCTTGTCACAGCAAAGACTCAAGGCTATAATTGCCACCAAAGGTGCTTCAACAAAGTACTGAATGTAGGGTCTGAATACTTATGACTATGTGATATTTCAGTTTTTTTTCTTTTTAATAAATTTACAGACATTTCTAAAATTCTGTTTTCACCTTGTCATTATGGGGTACTGAATGTAGATTAATGAGAAAAAAATGAATTTCAACAACTGTAGAATCAGGCTGCAGCATAACAAAATTGACAAAATGAAGGGGGTCTGAATACTTTCTGAATGCACTGTATAAGAAGCCAGTGCAGATTCTGCCGTATTGGTTTATTGTATTAAAAATATTGTTCTCAATAAATAAACATTATAACATTACCTCTCAAAATAACCTCAAATCACAGAACAGCAACATCTGGAAGTGTTAAACCCAAACCCAAAGAAAATAATGTATCATCTGAGATACTCACACTTCCACAATCATCTTCATATAATAACTGGCTGAAAGTTTCCAAACCTGGAAAGAGAGAGAGAGAGAGAGAGAGAGAGAGAGAGAGAGAGAGAGAGAGAGAGAGAGAGAGGGAGAGAGAGAGAGAGAGAGAGAGAGAGAGAGAGAGAGAGAGAGAGAGAGAGAGAGAGAGATGGAACTTTATTCCTGAACCGCCAAGTAATATTGTTTTGAAGCCAGATATTCCAAAGATGTTTAACTAAATAGTGGGTCTTGTTCCTAAATTTCTAAACTTTCTTTTAAAGAGAGAAAATGGATAGATGCTTGGGAACTCTACAATGTAGAGTTCAAATGGGATTTATTTGTGGCACAGTCCACATCTTATTTGCAGGGAATATGAGCTTTTCTTTTGAAAAGGTTGAGAAATGAGAGATGAAGATCACTTATATTTTCTGTCTCGAGATGAAGTTCACTTATATTTTCTGTCTCATCATTTCCTCTAAATATTTTCAGGAACAGCAAAGCCAACCCAATAGTAAGTACTAGATGGGCTATTAATCCTTACGTGTTGTACCTTGTGATTCTTGACTCTTGATGAATATATCTTTTCTTTTATGTACACTGAGAGCATATGAACCAAGACAAACTCCTTGTGTGTCTAACTACACTTGGCCAATAAAGAATTCTATTCTATTCTATTCTATTCTATTCTATTCTATTCTATTCTATTCTGGATGGGCTATTAATGTTTTGCAACCTAATTTAAATTTGCATGTTCCTAATTGATTATAGTATAGTATGGACCTCATCATAGATAGATTACAACTGTCTACATCAGTTTTTAACATGACCCGTATTAAAAAAAATACCTTACTGTTTGGGAGAAAAATCAATAGAATAAAAGTTTTAAAATAATATAAGAGTTGGGATTATATGAGAAACTGGAATTTGGGTCACCTAATAAAGCTAATTTACAATAGATTTAGGAAAAATAAATTAGAGGTTTTGTTTTTTTAATGCAATGCATAATTTGCAAATGTAAGGACCTGCCCCAGCTGGTATCTCAGGAAAGCAAAACTCTTGAATCACTGAGTTGCATCAAAAGAACTTTTACTGAGAGAATATGGTTGCAGTAAAGTCAGGCGGAATCTGAAAGAGTCCATGCAAAACACAAAGCAATTATTTCATGTCCCTAAACACAACCCCCCTGACTGGTTCACCAGCAGCCAGTGTGATGCTGCAAGGTTGTTTTGAGAACACTGAGATACTAGGCAGATAACAGTTCATTCTCAGGGTATGATAGCCTTGGAACCAGGCTGCAACTAACTGGGAGGGCGTCTGCTCTGTCTCTGAAAGCAGTCCCTCTCCCTAACTCCCAAGCAGTTACAGCAAAAACAAAACTATGCGAAAAAAGCCAGCGAGCCACTTCCCCCCCCCCCCCCCCCCGCACTTTCCTACAGAATGGCAGGACATGATAGTAGACCTGACAGCAATATCCATTGCTACAGACTGTGTTGACACTGTCAACCGAACCGATAGTTTTCAAAACAGAGTAGACATTTGAAAGGGCATAGGTTTATATCAGTATTAACCATGATTGCTAAATAGAATATCTATGCAGAAAGATGATTTTTCCAAGTGATGCTTGGACCATCCTAAAGTTCATTATGATAATTAATCATTAGGATACCTCATTAAATATTATTACGATAATAATAATGATCATGATGATAAGAGCGTGCTGGGTGAATAGAAAATTTTCATCCTCTGTTATTTTGAGACTCACCTCTTAATATTCCCCAGACTTTGTTTGCTTTTAGCACAGATGTGGGCTTTGATACTTGAAGATGATCTTAAAAGGGAAAAAATATTTAACACGGAATTATTATTCAGTAAAGCAAACCATGAAACAACCACTTAGAAAATTAGCACTCAGTTGCACACTGACTGCACATATGTGCAAACCAAACATGGAAGCAGATGTTCTACAGGTTTAGTGAAAGGAAACTAAGCAAATCACTCTCCCACTACAGGAATAAACATTTCTTGATATCAGGTCTTATATTACTTGTGATTTCCCAAACTGAAGGAAGTTGCTCAGGGGACAGGTTTGTCAACCTGATTCACACTTCATCTGTTTTGCAGTGGATAGGGGAAATCAGCAAACATTTCTAAGAAGCTCACAGTATTGCATATGATTACAACAGTTTTCTCCATGGATGGGATCAATAGGTGTTATAGTACTCTAATGCCTTTCGTATGTACTAAGGTTTCTAGCTAAAGTGCAAAGACAAAGCACAAACAGAAATGTGTGCAGTATTTCACTATTTATGTCCATTTGCACATACATTGCTCAGAAAAGGAAATGAAATTTTCTCCAGTTTAGAAAATGTTCAAGACATTTACAGACACCCACATCCCTGAATAAATTAGGGGGGGAAAAAAGTAATGTTAACAGGATCAGAATTCCTTCTATTGAAATTCAGAATCCTTATGAATTCAGGATTACGTCATCCTCACTTCACAGAGAAACTTTAGTTAGTTAACTTTATTGTCATTGCACCTCGTACAACGAAATCAAACACCATCTTCAATGCACATCATGACCATGACCATGAAAATAAACACAAACACACATCCTTCACCCTCCACACATTGAACCAAAAAACCCCAACACCGGACCAATACTGCACTATACAGCTGAATGCAAAAGAGTTACTGCCCTGGGTAGAAGCTGTTTTTCAGCCTATTTGTCCTTGTTTTTATTATTCTGTACTGTCTGCCAGATGGTAATAGTTCCAAAAAAGGATTTCCAGGATGAGATGGATCTTTGAAAATGTTTTGAACTTTCTTAAGGCAGCAGGAGCTATAAAGCTCTTCCAAAGAGGGGAGAGGGAAACCAATGATCTTCTGCACAATGACGTTAACCCTCTGGAGTGCTTTCCTATCTGCCACTGTGCAATTGGCAAACCATACAGAGGTGCAGTAAGTTAAAATACTCTCTCTGGTGCAGCGGTAGAAGGTCACCAGCAGTTTTTTATTCAGTTGTTTTCTGAGAAGTCTCAGGTAGTATAATCTCTGCTGGGCCCTTTTGATGAGAGCTGAAATGTGAGCACCCCAGGTCAGGTCCTCTTTTAGGGTAACACCCAGAAACTTAAAACTGGCCACTTGCTCCACTAGGTCTCCATTGATAAGCAAGGGCTGAATGTCTGATCTGATCCTTCTATAGTCCACTATAAGCTCCTTGGTCTTATTGGTGTTGAGGACCAAGTTATTGTCTCCACACCACGAAAGCAACTGGTCCACTTCATCTCGGTAGGCACCTCATCCCACCACTGTTGTATTATCTACAAATTTAGTAATAGTATTACTAGCATGAGTGGGAATGCAGTCATGCACATAAAGAATATAGAGTAAAAGACTCAACACGCAACCCTGTGGTGTACCAGTGTTAAGAATAAGGGCTGAAGAGGTACGATTACCTAATCTGACCCTCTGAGTGGCCAGATAGGAAATCCATAATCCAAAGGCAGATTGAATAAGAAAGTCCAAGGTCCAGAAGTTTAGACACTAGTCTATGTGGAAGAATTGTGTTAAACGCAGAACTAAAATCCACAAAAAGCATCCTCACATAGCCCTTCCGCTGTTCTAGATGAGTCAGAGCAGTGTGAAGAGTGATGGCTATAGCGTCCTCTGTAGATCTATTTTTTCTGTATACAAACTGGTGTTTATCAAATGTACGCGGAAGATCAGAAATGATGTGTCGGCAGGCCAATTTCTCAAAGCATTTCATGATGATAGGAGTGAGTGCCACTGGTCTGTAATCGTTGAGGTTATTGATAGGGAACTTCTTTGGCAGCGGAACAATGGTGGAAGCCTTCAAACAAGATGGAATAGTGGATTGGGATAAAGACCGATTGAAGATCCTGGTAAAGACTCCAGCCAACTGATCAGCACAGTCTTTAAGCACTTGGCCAGAGATACTGTCAGGACCAGCAGCTTTTCTAGGGTTCACAGCCCTCAGAATGCTCCTTACCTCCTGTTCCTCCACAATGAGGTGGGGGCTACAATTGGCTGGTGGTTGTATTTTATCTGTCTCTGATGTCTCCACTTCAAAGTGAGCAAAGAAATGATTCAGTTCCTCTGCCAATGAAGCATCTCCCTCAGCAGCGATGACATTGGTCGGTTGATGGTTTGTAATTTGTTGAATCCCTCGCCACACCTGCCTCATCTTATTGCTATAAAAATTATCCTCAATCTTCCCGTTATAATCAATCTTGGCCTTCCGAATACCTTTCTTCAGATTAGCTCTGGCCACACTGTATCTTGCCCCATCACTGGACCTAAAGGCCTTGGTCCTGTCGTGCAAGAGGCGCTGGACTTCCTTGGTCATCCAGGGTTTAGTATTTTATTAAAAGTAAAGCCTTTAATGAGGAAAAAAATTGGGAATTTTTTTTCCTAAATCAGGGCATTGATTCCTGAGCATGTGGAATACTAATGAATTGTATGGGGAAGGAGATGAAAAAAGATTCAGAATGAGGAACTGAACCGGGTATCTTTGAGAAGGACCCATCTGGTAGAACACTGGATTGTGCTGCAGTCCCATTTGCGTTCATCAAATATTTCAATTATCAAAATATATACATCTAATTTGCAGTGAATTATTTGATGAAATACCATTCATCTGCATTCATTTTTATAACTAGATAACCCATGAGTAATGGGTTGTGAAAATAACCTTGGGAGCCTTCAGGCCACAGGTCAGACAAAAGATATATCAAGTTAGAAGGAATGGGAGTGTGGGAAATGTCTCAGAAGGGATCCTCCCTAGTTCTCTGGAAAGTAAAGGCAGGGAAAGGCAGAAGTGCTTTCAGATAGGCAAAATTCTGATACTGTAACTTAGTGAAGTTCATGATTTTGGTTTCTGATCTGAACTACCTCAAAGGGCTGACATTATATAACCAGGGGTGGGATTCTACCAGTTTGCACCTATTCGCTAGGACAGGTTGTTAACATTCTAAGCAGTTTGGAGAACCGGTTGTTAGAAGAAATTACTGGTCTAATCCTGTAAGGAAGGCAGGAAGGAAACATGCTGGTGTTGCTTACAGAAACTGCCTCTCCATTAACCCTTATTACATTCTTGGCAGGACTAGACTTCCTGTCTCTGGAACTTCTCTTGAGTTTTTTTCCCCTCCTTTGCTGGTACTTTGCTTGTGTGGAGTGACTATTCAAAGTTACAATGGCACTGAAAAAAGTGACTTATGACCATTTTTCACACTTACAACTGTCGCAGCATCCCCACAGTCATGAGAGGCCAGGCGAGGAGATGCATGTCTCAATGTGAATGATATTGAGTTGGCCGCGCCCAGCTAATAACATGACCACCAAGCCATGCCCACCAACTAAGCCATGCCCACAGAACCAGTTGTTAAAAAATTTGAATCCCACCCCTGTATATAACTGTATCATAAAGACAAGTATGATGAGTCTTATTAAATAAATGTTGACCTGTAATATTGCAATATTTTATTCAATTACTCACCACATAAAATTATTAGATAAGAAGGTGATTATTACAGGTGATTAAAATAGCATCCAATAACATACCCAAAAGATGTAAGAAAATAAGGAAGACAGAACATAGGCACACTTATATTGTCAGATACTCACAGGCTTCATCTGATGTAATACTAGGAAATTTATCGCATTCGGAATCCTTTGAAGTGATAATCACCTGAAGCAAGGACAATTCTGTTTCACATAAGGATTTTTTCTCATCTCGATTCTGCCATTTGGAATATCCAAATATATATTCATAATACCTGGAAGTAAATTCAGTGGCACAGAAAAATGTATTCAAAATTTGCTTTCTAGCAAGATTGTCAGAAACTAAAGAAAACCCAAATCTAATAATAATAATAATAAAAGACAAGCTATTGTTTATTTTTTCATAATAGAGAAAGTACATAGTGTTAATATTTTGTGTTCTTTTAACAACTTTTTGAATTATTTCTGGTCAGAAATACTTTCCTTGAAGCTTGATTCCCACAGCAATATGTGATTCAACAATGGTTGATTCTAACCATAATGGCTGAGTTCAAACATTGAACTAAACTGAAAGTCAATAAGACAAGAAATAGCTCAGCATAACTGTATAACGCCCAATTACTGAAACAGAACTTTTAAGTAGATCTGAATATACCAATTCTTTGTTAAACTTTGGGTTTTGAAATTCAGAAAAATTTGTATTTTTAAGATCCTTTCTCAACACGCACTCACAATTTCCAGCCAACATGGAACTAGTTGCAGAAAAAGCCTTTGGACTGATAATTGATAATGTCATAACATTGCTGCACAAATTATGTGAATTCTGTAATCTGGTTACTTTATGACATTAATATCTCATTTGTGTGATTATTTCTTTATTAAATTTACATGCCACTTGCAGTGATTCTGAGTAATTATTGTGTTTATGGTGTTACTTGTTTTCAGCTGCAGATACTTTATGTTGGCCAATGGTATTTTCTGAAGGTACCACCTTGGGAAAGTTTGTTCTAAGTTGAAAGGAAGTTGTCTCTGAGATCACTTCAATGTAATTATCCTACCTATAATGGAAGGGAGCATTAACCATGTATTTCCTTCTGTCTGTTGCTTCACTGAAGTATGCTGAGAATCTTCACCATCACCATTTAAATTTATTGGTAAAAATGCATATTTTTATACATTTGGGTGCTAAATGTTATGCAATAGTCAGTGCATTCTTTTATTGGTAACAGACCTACAACCATCCCAAGTTAGTAAGTACCAGACAGACAAGAATCACACGCTTTCAAAAATAATGAGAACACAGCCTTCCAGTGTGAGTCTTGGCTGAGTAAATAATGAACAAAGATGACAACCACTGTGCGGAATAAAAGACCAGTTAGTAAACAAGCCCTTCAAATTTCTCCGGAGAGGCAGAGATTGGGTTGGGAGGTTTTCAGTGAGTGCTGATAGGCAGCTCATTGTAGAAAGACTCTAAAACGCTTCTGTCCTATGGGTTTGAGAGCTAAGAGTCAAGGGAGAAGACATTTTTGCTCTCAGCAGTGGTGGAGCCTTTCATGAGGACAGAAAGACAGTCAAACTTATTTTCTAATCACCTTCAAAATGGTGAACTTAATTTGATAAGTGAGGTGTTTTATCTTCTTTGGATTTAAGAAATTTTAAATAGAGTCTCAAAAATTTTAAATAATATACAATTGGCAAAAAGCAAGAAAAAAGGGTTTTGATTTATGAAAGTTTGAAATGGATCAGAAAACCAGAAATATTGGTCGTTTTTGCTGTAAAACTTGAAAAACAAATATATAACTAAATAATATGCTAGAATGGAATTAAACTCAAATAGGAAGCAAGGTTGATTAAAGTTGAAAGTGGATACTGGAAGGAACCAAAGCACCAGGCGGAAAAGAGTTCAAACGAATGAAAATAATTTTAAAAACAACACCTCCCCCCCTCTACCTAGACTTTCAGAATTTCAAGACATGGAAGACAATACAATTGAGATTATCAAAATGGGAACACACAAGCCAATTCAGAAAAGGATCTGGATCTTGATGCTCTGTAGACAGAAGCTTTTCGGCAACCAATGCAATCAGAAGGCCAGCTTAACAGTCATTCAGTCCATGCCTCTCCAGGGTGTGTAATAGTTGGTTTGAACTGAACTGAACTTAACTGAACTCGGATCTGAACTGCTGTTTTCCTGGTGGTCTCTGATTTTTGATGTTCTCCGATTTCTGATGTTTATCTCAGACATTTTGTTGCAAGGTTAGGGTAACATCAGTGCATCAGTCTGATGTTACCCAGCCTGGCAATGAAACATTTGCAGGAAAACAACCAAGCTCATCCATAATTTAACTCCTTAAGTATTTTTGGACTTTGGCTCCTAGCAACCTCAGCCAGACTAGATCTGAGGTGAGAGTTGCTGGGAATCGTCGTTCGATAACATCTCGTGATAAAACAGCCTCTCTTCCCCGTCCAACTACAGATCACATAAAACAGTGCAGGATGTAAATTCAGCACCCCCATGTGATGGCTAAGCAGCTTCTGCTTAAATGTACCCAGAAGACGAAAACTCCCCACGCTCAAGATAGTCTCTTTCGCTAAGGCTTCATTAGGAGAAAAACTTATCTTGAGGTTCTGCAAGCATCATCCCGGAGTTCCTTCTATGCCGAGGTTGCCATGCTGATCACACACACACACCCCCACCGCTCTATTCCGCTGCAACTCATCCCAAAGAGAAAAAAGGCGCTCACCTGCGGAAAGCGTCCTGCAACAAGGAGCAATCCGGACCCGCGGAGGATCCCGGGCCGTGGACGATCTGGAACTGATCGGGTACTAGCCGGAACCTCTCTGGGGAGACGCGAAGCGACTGAGGCAGCGGCCAAAGCGAGCCGAAAGGGGACGAATCCGGAGGCGTCCCGGGGCTCAAGAACAGCAGCTCCTGAGGCCCCGCGGCCCACCTTGGATACCGAGATGAGGCCGCCAGGAGCCCCGAAACGGCCAGGAACAACACGAACAGTTCCATACTCCCCATCACCCGCCTGCTAACTCGGTTGCCGAGACCGACGACCGCACCCTCCGCGTCGCGGTCCCTGACCTCTCAAGAGGAAGGTCCTCCCCGGCAGCTCCCAGTCCCGCCTTCTTCATCCCTCCAGGGATGAGGGCAAAGCTGTCGCCGCCCGCCCGCCCGCCAATTATTTTATTTTATTTTTTATTTTATTTTATTTTATTTTATTTTATTATTTTATTATTTTATTTTATTTTATGTCAAGCGATTATAAGATAACAGGTATAAGTATAAACATAATTATGAATACATGAAATGGATACATATCAGAAAAATAAAAAGAATCAATAGGACAGGATACGTAGGTGCGCTTATGCACGCCCCCTAGGAAAGGGCTGAGGTCAATAGTAGACAGTCTAAGGTTAAACTTTTTGGGGTTTGGGGAAGAAACCACAGAGTCAGGTAGAGTATTCCAGACATTGACCACTCTGTTGCTGAAGTCGTAATTCCTGCAATCAAGTTTGGTACGGTTAACCTTGAGTTTGTATCTATTGTGTGCTCTTGTGTTGTTATGGTTGAAGCTGAAGTATTCATTGACAGGTAGGACATTGCAATGTATGATTTTATATACTATACTTAGATCGGACCGAAGGCAGCGTAGTTCTAGCTTTTCTAGGTCTAGAATTTCAAGACTGGTGGCATAAAGTATTCTGCTACTAGTAGAGGAGTGGAGAACTCTTCTTGTGAAATATTTCTAGACTTTCTCAACTCTATTAATATCAGATACGTAATGTGGGTTCCAGACTGATGAGCTGTATTCAAGTATGTCACTTATATTAATAATTAAATTATATTAAATGCCACTCCAGGGAAAACCTCTGAGCTGCTGCACATTTGGACGGAAGAACCTGACTGAATCTGGCAACAGTAGAAGCGGAGAGTCCATCTGCTTCGTCCCTTCCGAGGTGTACCCTGCGTTGTCCCGCTTTCCCGCTCAGACCAATAGCCGTGACAGAACAGTGCTTGCCCTCTCCATTGGCCGTTGTTCTGCATTCTGCCCCCCCCCCCCCCGTTGCTCTGTTTCTCTTGGTTTTCTGCAACCTTTGGAGAGGGGGACTGTTAAATGCAATACAAGGAAAATAGCTGAAACAAATAAATAGGGTAGAAACTTCAATGATCCTGTTTTTGGAAACCAATCTATATTTCTGACTGCAATTGTTGATGGTTACAGTCTACATCAGAGGTCACCCAACTGTTCAGCTCAGGAGTCCCCAAACTTGGCAACTTTAAGACTTGTGGACTTCAACTCCCAGTTGGGAGTTGAAGTCCACAAGTCTTAAAGTTGCCAAGTTTGGAGACCTCTGCTCCAGCTCATCAACCACTTTATGAAGCTTCTTCATACTGTTCATCCAGGCACAAACGTTTCTTAAATAAAAAATAATTTAAGAAATACCCTTTTAACCAATAGCACTATAAACAACAACAATAATGGATAGTCTCATTACCCTTTGGGGGTCGATATTGACCACTTTGGGCACCCTGGTATAGATTTTATAGAGGCCCAGACAAACTCTTACTCTATCTGTAAATTCCCTGCTACTTTTTTATCACAAATAAACAAAACAATTGTTGATATTTCTAGTAGTCTCTGCAGAGAGCATATTAAGAAAGCAGAATTCCTACACTCAATTGCAATGTTAATCAAAATGCTGCATTCTAATAAAATGTTATTTTTCCCTTATCAGGATGTAGCATCTTGGTTGATGTCCATTTTAATTCTGCTTCTTAAAATAAAGGCAAAAGGTCTGTTGAATTGGCATGGACTAAGAAGTCCATTTTATAAATGTCTTTTCATTCCATCATATTCATCATATTGTTTCTTTTTACATTGATTTTACAGCACTGTACTAAGTAATATAAAATGTACATACAATAGATTGCTGTATAAATAATATTACCAATTATTGTAATTAGAGAGGATTGCCTGTATTCCATCACAACCTTAGTTGCTCAAATATTTGGTTAACTGTGATTTGTGTTTATTGGTAATTATTTCCTGTTGAGCAAGGTTGTGCGTCATACAGTCTAGCTGCAACTATCTGGAAAACCTTGATAGAAATAAACAAATGTACAAGATTCAGGAGGTCCGAAAGACTGCAGGATTAGCCAAATCTGTGCACATGTAATACTATCCCTTCTGACAGGGTTGTCCAGATGGGTGTGGGTGGAACATCTTTACAATGAGTGATCATCTCCAGAGTGAATTTGGTGGTTGCCTGCTTAACCCCATGATAGATGTTCCCCAGAATTTACCTGGAACTGCTATGAGACCCTACAGAGATACAGGATAAAATTGCAGTATCATCAATATGCTAATAACACCTAGGTCTTTTCAGTAATTCCAGGTGTGGCAATAAGATTGAAGAATCAACAGCTGACTAGGTGGTAATCTCTAGCCAGTTTGATACAGTTTGTAAGATGGGGTTGTTGGACATTACTGCTAAACCAAAACTCCTATTTTTCTTTATGTGCTGTGCCACATTAACTTACCTAGGCAAAGTAGGAGAAAAAAACCCAGAGCATATCTTCAAGATCAAATCCCATGTACACAAATTAGACAGCTTTGACAAGATTGTGTTCTGGTTTTTTTTTGAATAGCCAGCTTGTCTATCCAGAGTGGGGAAAAATGTGAATACAATTAACCCTAACTACACTGAAAAGATTGGGACTTAAGTAGTAATTTCAATGTACACATGTTGTGTATTGACAATAAACGTTTGATATGATTTGATAACGAATGTAATTTCTATTGAGTCCTTTTTAGCAATCATATGCATCATTGTGATTTATGGATGTTTATTTCAATAAGAGCCTGAGCACAAAATTATTTTACATTGACCCATTTCTAAGCAATAATAGGATTTAGGATTACAGGTGATGCCTTTTAAGAAGTAAGACTTTTAAAATTGCTTAATTGTTTCTGCACAAAGTCCCTGGAAGGCAAAATCATGAAACTGTGTATCGCTTACTTTGGCCATGTTATGCGGGGGAATTCATTGGAGAAAGCGATTATGTTTGGAAGAGTTAGTGGTAAAAGGAAACCAGTCCGCCAAAGAACACGATGGCGGGACACCATCAAAGCTGACACCAGCCACAGCATAGAAAAATTCAAAAGAAGTAGTACAAGATTAGAAGATGTGGAGAGACTGGCCATAGAATCGCCAAGAGTCAGACTTGACTGAATGGATAACATCGTCATCATTATCGTGCATTCATGCTTTCATCATCCAGGAGTATCAAACTTCTGTCTTCAGTTCTCTGAGTCATGCATACTGGACCAATCCTTCTATTATCAAAAAGTGCCATCTAAAGGCAATCTTTATACTGAAGATGATTTTCCTGACCGGCTTGCATTCCAACACCACTGCAAATCTCAAAAGGTTTCAATGTAATTTTGATTAAACTCTATTGTTTATAGTGGATGCCTTAATTTATCCTATCAAAGTGATTTCTATTTGAAATGTTAGTATTCTGTCACAACATTCTTATTGGGGTTGTGATCTGCTATGTTTTTAAAATTTCTATTGAATATAGATATTTAAAAAGATATGTTGGTATGTCCTAATCATTATATTACTTTCAGATTTGTAATTTTGAAAAGGTAACATGATAATTTATTGTTTGCACTGGGTTGTTGCCTTGATAACTGCAGGATTGGGCTCGTTAAAGGCCAACAATATGAAGTCTGATCCAAAGTTACAGTTAATAGGTGGTTTATCTGCTCAGAGATATAAGTTTCAGGATGTTCTGCATGAAGTTCTCCCAAAGAATTAAAGTCATAGTTTTAGAATATTTCTAGATCCATTTTTGACATTATAGGCAGTAGAAACTTTGTAGCATGAAGCACCTTTCACTAGGCTGTTTGTGCCATTTATGGTCCTGCTCTCACAGTGAGAAACTATGCCTTCGTAATTTCTGGTTTAGATTACTGCAATGGGATTATGATGACTACCGGCATGGAAACAACACAGCCAGAACAAAGACTTAACTCCCCTTTATTGTTCCAACTTTCCCCCAAAAGCTCCACTGTTCACTGCAAGTCCAGGAGCAAAGCTCTAAACATGCACCTCCAATAGTTCCTCGCTGTTACTGGTCCAGAGGAGCAGCTCATTTCTGAGAGCAACCATAGTTCAAGGAAGTTGGTTCCGAGGAGTTCTGTTCAGAGGAAGAGTTCACTGGGACTGCAGCACCACCTGGAGTATAACTGTGTCACTGCAACCTCGCACATAGCCAGGCCTGGCTAGCACAGCATACAAGGCAAGCAGGGCAAGGCACAGCAAAGTGTAATAGCATATAGTGAGGCTGGAAAAAACAATGCTTGTTCCTGAAAAACACCCTTCTCAACAGCATCTCTTTAAATCTCATTCCCCAAGTGAATTTTGTGAAGAGGGGCAGGGAGCTTTTCTCCCAAGTTGTCAGGTTGCTCTGCGCTGATCCCTCTCCATTCTCCATGCTCGGGGGTGGGGGGAGAGGCAACTGCTCCTCTGCTCCACTGTCTTTCCTGTCCTCCCCCCTTGCCTGGTACTCCTGTGCCCCCTCTCCCCCACTGGCAACCCTTCCCAGGCTGGAGAGACCTAAGGCTGCCTCGAGACTTAGGCTCCGATGGGGCCATGACAATGATGTGAATAAGGTTGCCTTGGGCAATATGAACATATCACACCCATTCCTTGTGACCTTCACTGGTTCCCAGTTTGTTTCTGGTCACAGTTCAAAGTGTTGGTTTTAACTTATAAAACCCTTAATGGTTTGGACCACAGCTCCTGAAGGAAAGCCTCTTCTCATATATTCCTAGCTTCAACTTAAGGTTATCTTCAGGGGCCACCCCATGTTTAGGCATGGATGATGGCTACTGAGGAGCAGGCATTTTCAACGGTTGCGTTTCTGAGTTTGGAATGCCTTTCCCAATGAGATATACCTGGCATCATGTTTTTCTTAGCTTTTCATTCCTGGGAAAGTATATTTGTTTT